ACCCACCGACATGTTCACCACGTACATATCCACCCATGTACATTTACATGAGTTTGTTGTCTTGAAACAAATTGAAACGTTGTTTTGAATTATTGCACATTATAAAGTTGTCAGAAATCAACATGTAACAAACTAATGCATAAATAATCTTCAATGAGGAGAGTTTGTTGTCTTGGCAAGACTCTCGAGTGGAGAGAGTTCAGGATTTTTGGGAAATCTAATGAGCAAATGAAGAACGAGGGTTTAATTAAAGTATATGAATGAAAAATATAAATAACTCAAAGTGTAAATTGTTATCAATATATTTTTTTGAAGCAGTCATTAAATGTTTTTTATATTTAATACGTCAGTTAGTATCTTAATATTGATAAAAAAATATTATTTTATTAACCTTGAATTAATAATAAAGCTTTCCGGAACCGACAAATTTTCCATTCATCCACTTCACCCAATGAATTTTTGAACCTGGTTAGAGCATATATTAGAATTGGATAATAATAATAAAAAAAGTTATTAAAATTATAAATTTTGACGCGGAATATCATAATTCATATTTTCTTGCATTGCATTTTTGAGTGGAAAGTATCGACAAGATTATTCCAAACCGATATGCTTGAAAATTTTTGTTTTGTTTTCAAAGTTTGATGACATTGTCGTATACCAAAAACCGAATCACCGAATCACATAAGCCACAAAAACTGTTGTTGTTATTCTTTTCAAGTACTGAGCCAATTGCTTTTTTAAAGATTAAAGATTGTTGTCGCTAGAAGACTATCACATGTATTTTTAATATACCTGTTGGCACTATAAAATTCGTTTTGATTTTGAAGTTTTGTATGATAACGTCATCAAAATCAGACATTCCGCACCGCGCGGTGGTCCAGCTATTGCATTCTAGTCGGGGAATTTTATGATAAGGTAGAATAACGCAGGTTACTGTAAATGATTTGCGACTACTTCGTTTTACTATACTCTAGAATGAATTTTATCTTTTTCAAATCTGAAAAATGATAAGTGGCACTTAAATTGTCAATTACTTGAAAATTCAAAAATTTGTCGAGAGCCGCATAAAATGTTCTAGCGTGCCGCATGCCAAATACTAATAGAAGCTTGGTACCATCTGTGCTCTCATTGTAAATTGATGTCTTGTTAGTCCCACGTTTGATTTGAATAGGCACATTTCAGCAAATTTTCTTTTCAGGCATTCTGGTTCATTGCGAGATTCGGTAGGAATGTCACCTTCAGCTTCCTCATATGTAAAAGATTCTTCTTTTCTCCGCTCTTTCCCCCAATCAAATTATGCAATAAACAAGCTTTATATTTTTGTCATATTCATGGCTATGCAGTGCTCCGATGACAATATCAAATTTACTAACAAATATTTTCCAGCGTTCAGCAACTTTTCCATCAAAAATCAGAGAATCTGGTCTGTTCAATGACAAATCAGCCATCTCCAAATTAATTTCTCACTGACGCGATTTTTTGAATTCTTCAAGCAGCTTTAATTCAATCCCGATTCTGACACCATGTTTTTTGTGGGTAAACACACAACTGTTCATGATTCTTGAGTAAATTATGGATATTTACCTAACCAACTGTACAGAAAAAATGGGGTTCTTGTAATGTTTTAATGTATTTTCATTGTGTGTGTGTTTAAAAAACTATTCGCTTTGTCTTTACACTCTGACATGTCACAGCAGATTCATCTCTGATCTACACGTTGCTTTTTCCGAGATCATCACTAGTTATTTTTCCAAGTTTTAATTAGCGAGCGTAATATAGTGAGGTATATAATACAATTGGATCAAGCATCTGCATCAAATTGGTATATTGCATTGTGAATACACATCACAGAAATTACTTTTGACGATGAGAAAATAATTAGTTAATTAAAGTGCAATATTTTATTGGGAACATATGCAAAATCATTGACGAATGTTGTGTGAAGATTACATAGAACTGACGTCCATTGTGTTGATTAATTAGATAGATGAGCTCTAAACCAACAACAGAAATATGATGCATAATTTTGAATTTCTCCTTCAATGAGTGCTCTACTTAATTATTATTATTCTAATTGTACATATTGGACTATATCTTCTGATAAATTTTCGTTGAATTTCATTTCGCTGACGTTGTTTTGCTCATTAGTAATATTACCTGCGTATGACATGAGCCGTTTAGTGGCGGAGGCAATATTTAAATGCCCTGGTATTGCAGCACTCGGGATAGAGATCAAAACATTTTGAGGGAATCACATCTTATTCTTGTTTTTGAAGCTGAAACTTTCACAAACTTGGTAAAGGTAAAAGGTTTTTTTACCATCTACATCGTTCAAATGGCCATGGAAACATATACTGAAGATCAAGATTACAAAAACTGCTCAGTCAAAAACAGAAAATCAGAAAACAAAGCTTTCAAAGCGACAAAAACCTGGAACACATTTGTCAAATCGTTTGAGTCACAAATATGTTGCTGCCGCAATCGGAAAAATCTTAAGATTTACAAAGAATGCTTCACCGGTTCATCAGCTGTTATCACAATGCATAAAATCCTGAAAGAAATGGGAAACTATGAGAATGTGTCAAGATCTCAGGTAAGAAATGCTGAACATGTGTTGTAGTCAATTTTAGTGTAAACTGACTTCATCAAAAATGCACGAGGTGTTTGAAATATTGCAATTTTAACTAAAGTATTTTTATATTTCATTCCTAAAGGGTATAAAACTGCTACAGAAATTCATGGATATTAATGGCAAATGGTTATCGGAAGAATTCAAAGATTCGGGAAAATTATATAGGTATAATTAGTCCATTTTTTTGTATTCCGAAAGTCATATATTAAAGTATGAATTTTGCATTGTGATATATAATTCCCTTCATCTTTGATTAAATTGCTCACGATATACAGTGATACTTCTGTAATCGAAATACTCAACACTCGAACGATTCGGTAGTTGACCAAAAAATTAGAGTCAAAAATTACCACAGTTTCCAGTTTTTTTATGGCAAAAAAGTTTCGGTACTCGCACAAATCGATAGTCGAACACCATTCCCGAACTAATTATGTTCGACTACAGAGGTATGACCCAGATGCTGATATATATTTTTTAAATATATTGTTGTTTTCTTATAGATTGGCCAAATGCAAATGTTTGAATGCCAGCAAGAAATGGATCGAAAATCGATCACAGAATCGAAATAATTCAATTCATGCATTAGTTGGAAGAAAAGGTGTGTAACCTTAAACCTACATGATGTATATATATTTAGTTGTCGCGATTAGTTTTAGTTAAAAATTCAAGGATAGAACAAAATGTTATTTGAGACATTTGTAATATTTGATATTTATAATAGTAACTGACAAATCATAACAGAATATCTCATTCAGCCTATTTAAAAATTGAAATTCAAGTTTAGCATGAAATAGTACTTTTTGTATGTTGCTGTTATTACGCCGATTAAAATGAGTTCTTTTCGTTTTCAGTTTCCGTCCAGATAGACGAAACTCAAGCACATTTTCGAAAAACTGCAAAAAGGTTTTCAACCTCTTCCTGTAGCACGATGGAATGGACGAATAAAAAGATTTTAAAAATATTAACACGGGGCTTCAACACTCTTTGAACTCAAAGCAATCCGACGCAAGAGTTCTCAGATTCAGATTCAGATTCAGATTCAGATATTTATTTTCGTCATGCAAAAAACAATGCGCGATATGAAAAATGAATAAATAATATAATGTAACAAAATGTCAAATGGATATCGGCTTGTTGCAGTTGACGCAGAGTCGCGAAAAGACTCATAGAGTCATCTAGTCAGGGACACCTTGTAGCTGAAATTAAGCAGCAAATATAAGAAACGGGACACTCAATATTACACATTAACTTAATAAATTAACACGATCATACAAAAAGACAAAAAAATAAATAGAACTCAATATTACACATTGGCTTAATTGGACATTTAGCATTTCCAGCAGAATGAAAAACTTAATTCATCTTTCTTCTGATTTCACTTTCCTGCAAACATACTTTTTTATTATTATTTTTTTTTTTCATGATTGAATAATATGATTTTCCCATATATTTATTGATTGTTTGAATCAGCTATTCGTAAATTATAGAGTGTAATTAAAAAAGAACGAAAGAAAGTTAAACGCTAGAAAATATAATATGTCCGAAAATGATTCGGTCACAGTTTGATTTCGCCAAAAGATGATCTTTGCAAAAAAATATGAGCTAACTTAGACTAAATAGTAAATTGCTGAGATGATATTTGAGTAAGTTACAATTATTAAACCAGTTAGCAGATTTCGGATCAGCTCGCAACATCGAAATTCACAATCTGGTATGAATTTATCTTATCAAACAAATTTTTATTTATCAAATTTCACAAGGTATTTTTAAGCCTTACTTCATACAAAGCAACCGAACAGCCAAAGGGGACTCGCTCTTAGGAAAGTTAGCTTCCATCTCGAGTACATTTGCATCCACCGACATCTTCACCAACATACATATGCACCCATGTACATTTACATGAATGTATAAGGTAAGCTATGCGGCTTGAAACGTGTCAATGACAGTTGGATCTTTAAAGCGTGCTCGTCGATTTTTCTCATGTCCCTGCCTTCGTCACATGTAAAAATCACTGATACGTTTTTGTAAAGCGTATTGCTGTTGAATTTGAGCTACTTGCGGAAGTCTAATAAAAGAGTTTGAAATAGATTGCAATTGACGAGGAGCCGTGAAAAAACTATAAAGTCATCGTGTCAGCGACACCAAAGTTGCTGTGGTCAGCAGCAGATGACGTCAAATAACTAGTATTTAACACATAACTGTAAAAATTGTTATATAGTCATGAATGTAATATAATGACCCTATTTATTAAAAGTAGATCATCTTCTGTAATTATGGGGATGTGAGTAGTATCCAGGTTCTTTTTGATGAGAACTCTTCCATTATTTGTCCATAACAACATATATCCACAAGCTCTCTTTAAGTCTCTGGTGTTGAAAAATAAATCTTTGTTTGTATCCGTCAGATTTTCGATGACAAATACCTTTGATGCCCTGGGAATTTTTGGAAAAACAGTAGAAATATTGAGTGATTTAAGTTTGCTCTGATTCGTTAGTATTCGATCTCTTGTTTTTCTATTGATAAACATGGGATTATTGGTGATGGTTTCTTCTTATTATTTTTTGATAATTTAGGGCAGTTTGAGATGTCGAATGATTGTAAAGGAACATCAACTTTCAAGCACAATTTGGTAACCAGATTTTCCAGTTTTCACCAGTTCTATAGGGAATATTGTGAAACTCTTGAGTCTAGATTATCAAGTCGGAAACGACGTTCTTGGTCTTGCTGTCGTTCTGTTAAGATGTCGATTTCTTCCTATAATTCTTCCACTAGATATTCTAACTCAGCCACTCTTTTTTTGTTTTTATTGCTAATTTGTTCAGCTCAGTTTGGTTAGTGCAGAGCTCATCAAACTTTTTTGACATGAAGTCCTGTCTCTCCTTTATTTCGTGGATCTCATTTTTGATTTGACTGAAAGATTTTTTTTCTGTTTTGATTTCAACGATCGAGTCTTTTAAAAAAGTTAGCGATTATTCTAAGTGAGCACTGTTGGTAATAGGTTAGATCGTGTCAAAAATAGATCTTCCAAGATGTTTCTCGAGATGATGTTCAATGATGGCAGGTATCTCTAGGCGTAAAGTCTTGAGAATCGTACTTTCAATTCAATTCATTTATTGCTCCAGTCCGCGCTGCGGTCCATATAAAAATATCACAAACAAATAAACATAAGCAAACACAAAAATAACACAATAAATACATAAAACACCCGATACGACAATCAGATTCACAGTAGATCTCAAAAAAGAGTAAATACAGTGATCTAAGAGGCCAAAAGTGAAGTATAGAATCCAAGATAGCCCGTCACAAATCAAATGGGAATCAAATAATGATTGTAATAGGATGTTATTAGAGTTCCTGCATATCGTCATAAACAACACAAATTTTTTTAATGAAGTGAGAGAAAAGAGGGAATGTTTCCAGACACCATTTTGTGACGGACAGTCTCAAATCTAGAAACACAGTGAATTACGCGATAAGAATTATTATATGAAATTTTCACTTTTTTTGACTATAATTATTGAAAAACAACCAGAGCTGGCAGGTATAAACACTACAACAATAAGTCTCAAATGAAAATTTTCTACAGTAGTGGAACAATTGACAAATTGACGTTTCAAGTCAAGGTCCTCTCCAAGATCATTGGGTAGGAAAACACCAAGCTATTTAGTATAGACGAAACATACGTCAATACATAATTATAAAGTTGGATATCAGACAAGTTATTCAGCCTACACTTTTTATTCTGGATACACATACAAACTAGTCCTGAGGGAGTGCGACAATAAAGATTCATGCATCCAGTCTGAACGTGAATTAAAATACCAAGGGATACAAGTCACAACTGTAGTTTGAATTTTTACCGGTACCTAGTAGTCTACCTCAGGGCGGTTCAAGGTTGCTAAGTTGGAGGACCGCAAAAACGTTTGAGGAGGTCTCGCCGCGGGCCGCAAGTCGGAGAAAACCGACCCACGCTTGGCCCATGCTTGAAAACAGAGGAGTGTTTTGACTAAAACAAAGGCACAAAGCGTTAGAAAAAGGGGTTTGAATCTTGGGATCCCAACCCCAGTTGGAATAGCTGAAAAAAACTCAAAAACGTTCTACTATTAGATACAAATATACGCTAAAATTGTTTTGTGGGTCGCACGGAATGTATCAGCATGACAGGGTTTGGACCACCTTCGGCCTGGTCTACCTTATCAAAAAACTCCCGACTTCGCTGACCCCTAGATCGTTGAAATGCGATCGCGAAACCGCCACATAGTGCAAATAGTTCATTGGTCAATTGGTTGAAGGGAAAAGAAATTTTTTTAAAACAAAAATGCAGCAAGAAGGAGAATACTAGAAAGAAAAAACAACAACAATTTAAGGAAATAACTCATAGGCCCATTTCGTGTCACATAAATAAGTATCAGTGTTTATTTTCAATAAAGAAGGTTAATATGATACCATAAGACGAAAAATAAGCAAACGTTTTGAAGTTGGAGTCGTCTGGTGAACTCGTAATATTTTTATAAACACCGATAAACTATATAAAATTCTGCTCTAAAATGACTGTGGTGCCCCTTTTTACCTGGCGCCCTAAGCACGTGCTTATGTTGTTTAATGGTTAATCCGGCGCTGTTGGTACCATTATGGACAAAGAAAGAATCTGACACACTGCTACCCCATCTCAAAACATGGATTGATTACGATTCATGTGACAAAAATATTTTAGGAATTCTTCTGTTGATTAATTTACGAAATAGAAACCAGATTTGATATATCGTCAACCTCATTAGTGTTGGTCATGGTTGCAGTATTACGCATAGGTCGATTGCTTGGACTCTTTCGCCTGGGTGGTACAAGAGGAGCGCTGGATTTGCTAGGTGTATCCATCTTCCTTTCTAACTGCACAGTCGAAGTTGACCGTCACAAATTAGACTTCGTTCCGGCCCTTTCCCTTTTGTTTCTGGTTAGCGACCTTGATATAGTAGGTGTAGTTGGGTTTGATAGCACGTTATCTTCCGTACCTAGGCATGTCGGCGCGGAAGAGTTTTAAGACTCGTTCAGAACTTATCATTCAGATTCTGCCCGGAACAGCGAAATCAATCTTATTCTTATTCTTAAAATCTTATTCTCACGCAGTTGCAACATTTCGTTTTCAAAGCGTGGCTCATATTTCATATGTCATATTTATTAACGCTTAACTAGAACGCTCGTTTTATCTATGTTTCACGCGTATTTTGTTGACCACTGGTCATTGTGATGTCAAACACGTGCATGTCACGCTCTCAAGTACATTGATTTCTGTATGCCGGTGGGCCGGTGCCGCATTTTGAAATTTTCATCGTGCGCTATGAATTTCGTGTTGTCGACCCGACAAAATCTTGTCATTGCCCCTATAGTGTAGTGATGTAGTCAATACAAATGGAGATATGGACGGTTTAAAATTTTAATAGGTTTCAAATGTTGCAAAGCTGGTGCCCACTGTTTGTTACAGGAAATTCGTTGGTTGCTCGGTCGTAGCCGTATGGCTAAGCTAAACTAGTTGGAATTTGAAGGAGGACTGAGATTAGGCGAGTGCTAGCGCCGTCGGCTCTTGAATCTCCAGGTTGGGACACACGTGACCATGAGGGTATACTGAATGATACCGATGTTATATAATAAGTTGGTTTCACCAGAAATTACTAAACGGGTTCTAAGCGTTTTAATATTCAGCAGGTCACTATAATGAGTGGTTTATTAACCAAAACCAATATAGGCCTACTAGTGTTATTTTTCGCACGTGGGAGTAAAATGTATATCCAGGTAGCATGGCTGAAAATAAGAACATTGATTTTGAAGTGGAATGGCTAAATGCAACAGTGGAGTGTTTGACACTAATTTGCAATCGTGATACCGGTATATAAGTTAAAAAAAAACTTCTAAAATTTCCGAAATTTATCGCTATTCCGCGTCAAGGAATGTGATAATCTGCAAAGTTTGTCGGGAAGTGGCACCTAATAGTGATTTGGAACGGGCAAATTGTGGTTGGGAATGGGAAGTTGACTATCTAAAACGCCATTCAAATCAGAAGCATATTGACGCACTAGATCAGTGGTTCCCAACTGCCGGTGCCGGTCCACGAAGCTTTTTTGTCGTTCAGCGAGAAATTT